TCTCCGTTTTTCTCTCCAAAACAAAACAAGGTAAACAGTTAAAACTGAGGGGAAACTAATTTTGAAGTTTCGACGAAACAGAAAGACTTATGAGATGTTAAGAGGGATGATGGTGATTGAAATTAGCATAATTTCACCTTGCACGAGCTGCACGCATTTATAAAGTTATGAAACACGATCTCCTGTCTTTTAGTTTTGCCATGGATGACATCATTCTCTCTTGATGACATGGATGAGATTTTCCTTCGTGTTTTAGACAGTACTTGGTTGTTTTTGTTTTGGAATAACATCGACATTGGCGAGTAGTAGAACGAAAATATAATTCAGTGGTAGAGTCATAATAGAGAAACCCTTTGAAAGGGATGTTTGTCTACTCCAATTAAACCTCCCGCAAAAAATAGCAACATTTGCCTCTCGGAGACAGCGTACTAGCACAAAGGAACGAGGACGAAGTGCAAGAAAACAAATCAAGCCGCCATAATTCAGTGACAGCGGCAGAGTCTAATGTACAAGCCACATCGCAAGCCCTGGGGGGGGGCACTTTAGGAATTTCTGGGTGGGGATGTGCCGCTGGGACCCTGGAACCCTTGACCTATACCAGAGCTAGTGCAGCTGAATTTTGCTACCCTATACTAGAGTAAATTCCGAAAATCTCCCTATCCTAGAGTAGCTGTTTCCACAGTCTAGATAAAATCTTCAACCAACTGATCAGTTTCCTGAAAAATGATACCCTATTCTAGACCCAAACGCTCTGATTTATATACCCTATCCTAGAGTAAACTGCTTGAAAACCATACCCTTCACAGCGGCACATACCCATATAGCCCATATATGGCAGTACCCCCCCCGGGCCCTGACCGAAGTCGAAAACAAGCAACATTTCTAAGCAGAGTCCCAGTCCACTGCATCACACCTTTTTGCTCGGACGCGCTCGTCTCACCGCCCAACCTTTATCCGCCCTGCTCTTGAGTGCTAAGTGCTTTATCAAGACACTCGCACAGCTAAAGCATAAACCAATATAATTATAGTCATTGTCAATGCGGTAGTTAACTTCAAATTTTATTATTATAACGCGCGCTCAAAGCAGTACGCGTCAATGTCTGAGTGACTATATGTTTTGTTTTGACATTGACTGTTGTGTTTAACGTTTAGAATCCATATCGAGATGGAAAACTATTAATTCACTGAAAAAATTCTTTTCGAACGTAAAAATTTGCCCACGACATACACTTTTTTTTTTGTACATCAGTAAGAGTGTTGTTTTACCGGCTCACGCCGAATACCGTAGTCTTATCTTTCTGCCGATTTTACGCTTAAAATATTGTATTATTCTTAAACTATAGCTTATAAATGACATTTCCGTTTTACAATGTTTTGGGGTTTCAATTACAAGTGTTTGGTGTCTAGACCTAGTTTTGTCGTTAAGAGAAAGGAATAATTTTATACAGTTAAAAAATATCGTTGTATTGTATTTACAGATTTTTAACACAGAGAATTTTATCCTCTGAAAATGGTGAGCCTCGGTTTCATTCTCAAAATATTCTTAAAATTTCAGCTTCGATATTCTTATAAAATATATTCTTACAAAAAAAAAAGAGTGTGGATCGCACAGATGACAACAACAACACTCACCTAGCTACTATCTGTTAACAAATTCAGTGTCTTTCTTAAGATTATTTTAAAATTGGTAAACGCTTTATCTTGTGCTATTGAGTTATGGAAACACTTGGAGGAATCTCTATTAAAGCACACAAAAACTCGAAGTATTTGTTCACGTCGTCGGCGAATATGAAGCTCGCTCGCGCTATTGAAGTTAAATGATTTGTACATCTTAAACTGAGTCCTCTGTTAATTCAAGGACTTCCGCTCAGTCTAACTTAGGACCTCAAAGCGGGAGGTAGAGTTGCAAATTCCGATTTTGGATTGAAGTTGTACCCCTTTTAACCGGATTAATATTCACCGTCTGTCTTTTCGGCGACATCACGACACAATGCAAATAGTCACTCGACAATTAAGAATTGAGCATATCATGCTACTTATAATTTTAATCTTGTTTTAGAACCCCCTTTTAACTTGAACTTTACACATAACACAAGGTTTCTACACTTCAGTCAGTGATTTGTCAGGTAAAAATCCAACTCAAAAAATCCAAATTTCGCAGGGAAACTGAGCTGGTTGAAGTTTCATTAACTGCCTCGCGTGTGAATTCACAGCTATTACGTATGCAAGAATGCAGAGATGAATCTGAAATCTACAACTATACCAAGGGATTCAACATTCAAATAATGAGTTTATTAATACAATCTTGGGGGGTACGCTTGACCTGGCTTGACTGTAAAGTCGAAAAGTTGAAACGATTCGAGAAAGTTTCAAGCGACTTGAAAACCATCCTTAAAACCGACTTAGTTGACTTGCGGTTACTTGCGGTTTCTTGAGGCTTGAGAAAGGCGAAACACGTCAATCATTCGTAATTATGTTGCGTGGGAAAATAGCCTTAAGTTAACCTGAAGTAAAAAAAGCATCGCTTGCGTGTGAAGCTTTATTTTACTTGAAGTAATTAAAATTTACTTGTCTTGAAATATTTCTTAGCTTATTTAGGCTCTAAGTGTAAAGACTACCAGTGATGGCTGAAGCATTTCCGGTCACTGAGTTCTGAAGGATGTCTTACAATGGTTTCTTTATGAAAGAGATAAACCGTTCTTTTGAAGGGCTGGTAAAAACTTTTTAATTAATAAGGATGGAATGATATTAATATTTTTGCCTTTAATTGGTTTGGTTAATTTCATAGTTTTAATCGGGAAAATGTCGCTGCATTTTTAAAACCGTTGTCTAAAAACCAAAACTCACGATATGTTCTTATTTCCCTTCAGTTAACTGGATTCAATTTCCGGTCAGAAAAAAAAAACGTAGACTGCGGACTATTGTTTTCACCATGCAAATGGCACGTGACAACAATAGTCCCGTTGTTTTCTAACCCTAAAAACAATATTCCGCAGTCAGTCCGCAGTCTGCATTTTACAGCTCTGATCACGATAAATTTTCTCGTATTGTCACAGGCCGCCCAATCTCACTTTACGAGGGAAGGGTGTAATGTAATTTACATAACAGTGACGCGCCGGTGTCGCGTTACAGGTGACCGTTGAAAATATAAGAGACTTTGTATAAGAAATATATTACTGAGATCTGCGAACGTTAAATAACGCTAAACCTACTTTTTCTTAAATGAAATGAATACAAAAGACCTACCTGCAATGTATTCCTCTGCATTTTGGTATCTGTTTGTCGTTTAAAACGACAAACAGACACCAAAGCGTGAGTCACCTATGTTATGTAAATTACATTACACCCTTCCCTCGTAAAGTGAGTTTGGGCCGCCTGTGGTATTGTCTCGCTAAGAATATTTCTGTGTCAATAGCTTTACCTTTTGTAAAACTAAAATAGGAGTGTTTCGCAGGCGTCAACGAATTTAAAAGCTAATGTTAAAAAGCTTTCGATGGATGGCAGTTTTAACTTAAACAGAGCAAACTACAGATTAATTGTTGAACGTAAAGGGAATATATTTTTTCATGCACATGCAAGTGAATTAAATTTTGGAGGACTTAAAGGGGCAATTTCACGAGGATACTGCTCAGGTTTTATGTCAATTTTGTGCTGATATCATTACTTAATGTCTTTGCCGATACACAAAATGCTCCTGTGTAGGGTTATGAAGTAGATACCGGAAACAACATGGAGCACAAACCATGACATTTTTTGGTGATTTTAGTAGCCACAGCATGATTATTAACCCATGAAAAAGTTGGTTCGACTTTTTTCAAGTGTACATCCATTTCCATGCAACAAACGACAGGAAACTGTTTTAATGCTTAAATAACAAACTGGACTATTAATTTTTGAAATTCAATGATGCGAAAAATAGCTTGACCTAGCCCTTTTAAGCGTTTGTGGTTGTGCAGTTTGAGGAGGAAAAAATGATGTTTCCTTTAAAATGTGGTGTTGCGGATTTACAAGACCGCCCAAAAAGCTGTGTGTGGTTTATAAAAATTTTGGTAAATTTGGATGTGGTTTCGCGGTTTTTGACGTTTCCGTGCCTGATTTTAGCTCTTTTCTGTTCTGTATTGAGATTTGAATTCTTCAAGTTCCCCCCACTTCTAAGGCACCCTTTGAATTGAATGAAAAACTAGTGGGAGCTTTCCGTGTGGTTTTAAAGAATCTAGTTTGTAGTTATTTGTTTAACTAGAACCGGACATTGCCCGAAGGTAAAAAAAAAACAAAAACATAAAGGCAGGTTATCATGCATTTGTATCTTGCAATTCAAACAGCAAGAAACAAACTTGGGGAACAGATCAACTGCCTACGCAGTCTGAAATCAAAGTTTTTTGCTGTCGGTCCAAGAAGAGGACTCGGAGCAAACGCCCGTGTAAAGAGGCCAGAATACGCGCTCATCGTCTCGTTTATGGGGGTGTGCGGGAGAAAATCAGGAGGAAAGGTATTTTTAGCCTTGAAGGTATCCCTTTGGGCTATGCATGAAGAACTAAAGAAACAAAAGAGAGAAAAACAAAGAACGAAAGCATGTGAAGCAAACATCTTTATGGCAATTAAAACACAATATATAGAGCTTTTTTTGGTTGTTCGCTTTAGTATTGTATTCTTTAGGGGGGGTCAAAGAAAGCTTGGACCACGCCCAGGAATAGGTCTTCTGTAAGTGCTTAAACCAGTATTCTCGAATAGTCGGGCTTTAGAGCCAATGGCCTTGAAACCGATAAGATGGTGACCAACCGGGATAATTAAGGGATAATATTTGTTCTTCTGATAGAACAGTTCAGCTTTTTATGTGACTCTCATAATGGAAAAATTTAATAGGATCTTCATTCCTTAGACATTACACAACAGTTAAAAACAACCCAAGGGGGGTCTTAACAACTGAAAAATAAGTTGAATCAGTTAACTGGTCTATCTTAAAGTCCTAAGAGCTGTACACGGAGGAGAAGTCTTTAGAAATGGAGTTGTTTCGTTGCGTTTTTATAGTAAGTGTGCAGCAGATATTTTTTTGGCTTCGTTTGACATTTTTCAAGTAGGCTAAACTTTGAAATTGCTTAAACTAAACGGTTTCGGTTGCATTCAATTTCTCCGTTGGTTTTACCTTTGGTTTCTTTGAAGCTCAGCTGCTTAATTTTTGCTTAAGGATATACTTGCATGCTTTTAGAGAAGACCTTTTGCTGTTATTCATGATTGGTAATTCTGAACAGATACTTTTGAAAAACTCTCAACAGATAAAATAGGCGTTTTAATGTCCTTTCTGTATTCGCAGTCCCTTGTGGCGTTGTTGTCCGCTTTGAAGGTCCAATCCAAAAGCCTTAGTTACGCCGGCGAGCACTGCAAAACGGGCGACAACTATTTGCGGATAGACTGCTCTTCGACCAAGACCTCGCTTAATGATAGCTCACAATGTGATGCTAGAGCCGATAAATCAAGTAAAGGTGAGTCAAAAGTGAAAACTATTTTAGAAATAGATCTAATTAGTCTCAATTCAGCGAAGGAGCAAAGAAAGCAATCAAGAGATTAAACGTGAGTATAATTGAGTATATGCGTTCCAGCACAAAAGCGATAACACAGTGAATATGTAAATTTATCATTTATTTCAAATTTCAATTTAAAAGAAAATGTTTGATATTACCTGCAAATAGCTACGAGCTAATCGAGACTGGTAACAAAAAGTAAACGGAAAGAATTTTGTTCGTAAAAATCACGACAAGTTGCTATAAGTAATAAAGTTACACTGTGGGTATTCATAAGTTAATTTTGATATATTGTTAAAACTAAAAATTCTTTTTTAGGATAACAACAAGACAAAATAAAATCTTTTAAAAGAAATGGCGAGAAGAAACTTACAAGGTTTAAATGTCTCTCTTATGATTGATAATTACGTTAATTTATATTGATTTACTTTTTGAAGAATGGTGGATGGGTCGAGATATGCGTGTTTTTTTTTATTTTTATTTTTTATTTTATTTATGCTTCATGTTCCTTTACATATTACGAAAGTTATTATGTTGGCGGAGTCTCGCTTTGGGTGAGCTCTGTTTGCTGGGACACAAAATAATCACAATCCCATTATGGGATATTTTGGCCACGGGAGTGGCCGTTTATTAAATTAAAGCATATAAAGCTGGAAAAACTAGATACACAAGAACATTGTCCCAGCAAAGGTGAGGGCACACCCGCCACTCCTTAGGGTAAAATAAAGCTAACGGGAGGGAAGGGATGGAAAAATGTTTCTGACTTGTAATGCGAGGAAGGAGGCCTTGTGCCTCGCTTCTGTGACTTACATGACCCGTGACATAAATGACACTTTCGTGACAAATCACCCGGATGACAGGAAACCCTCCTTTGCTGGTAGCTGGAGAAATACGATAATGATCAGTCACATTAAGCATAAAACAATAAATCTCATTTATTTATTTTTATTTCATTTGTTATTCCAAAGTACAACAATTACATTAATTTTATTATTATCACAAAGCATACAGGCACAAACGGACTACACACCTAAGCACACATGCAATTCCACAATCGCACACAAGGTATGCCTACTGTTATATTACAAGTGCTATTCAAGAAAGAGGAAACTAATCATTTTAGTAAAAGAAGATAATTAACTAGATTACAAAGTCCATTTGTCCATTAATTTTTGTAAACTCTCATTCTTAGTGCAAATATATTTTTCTATTTCATATTTACTGTTTACTCTAACTATAAAACTGTTTATGGTTGGGAGTACTTCATTCCGTCTGCAACTCCATAAATATATTTTCCCTATAAGTATAAGATAATTAAGCAAGGGGCATTCGGAAGGTAAAAAGCTGATCCAAATTCCCTTTAATGTTAGGTGAACTAGTTGTTTTCGCAACCCAAAATAATATGATTCAACACATTTCCAGAATGAATTCGAATAAGGGCAGTCCCAAAAGAAATGTCTAATTATAGTTTCTGATTCCCCTTTGCAAAAAGAGCACGAGTTGTCTGTCCTGAACAACTTTGAGTTGGTAAAAAGTATAGAATTGAGTACTATAAATTGAAAGGCTTTGACGGTTCAAATACGACAAAATGGGGCAAGAGAAATGCCTTTCTGAGATCGTCATTAGATAGATTAAAATCAAACTTCAGTTTTTTTTCATAATTTGGGAGACAAGCCTTCTTTTTTATCAAAAAAGGATAATAATCTTTTGATTTCTTTTTTGCTATGTCGAAAACGCCGTCATTGATTTTAAAGGAAGGTATTGCATTAAAGGTACTCGAATCCGAGTGATTAAGAACTTTTAAGTTGTTTGGTATTGAATGTCTCATAAATAGTCCATTCAAGGAAGTTTGTCTTTTTAACATTTTCTGCGATCTGTTCGTAGGATTCCGTATTGCTGAGATCAAAAAGTAAGTCTCCTATTTCGCAGATACCGATGTCGTAATATTTCTTGTAGAAAAAGGACTTGTTGTCTTTTCTTAAGTCTCGATTATTCCAAATTACATAATGCCAATGCCTTATTAAGAGCATTATCTTCTCCAGTCGGAGTGCCGACCACCATTTAAGTAGTTCTAAATAAAAGGTAGAAGTAATTTGAGGATCCTTAACATTATAATTGAAATTTAAAAAGCATTAGACCTCAAGAATCTTTCAAGATGTTTTCTGGGTAGTTTTTCCACGCGCCTGAGTTGTCACTAAATATTCGTTTAAGCCCGGAAAGACGGAGAGATTTTATCAAACTTTCAATATCCACCATTTTGATGCCTCCTTCTTCATAAATATTTATTGTTGACGCTCTTGTTACTTTATCTTTACCTTTCCATAAAAACGTATATAATATGTGATTTAAATCCTTGACAATGTGTTCCGGAGTAGGTAACAAAGAGGAGGTGTAAACGATCTTTGGTATAATAAGTGATTTGATTAGAGTAACCTTTCCGTAGACAGAAAGCCCCCTTGAGGAGCAAATATTGACTGGTTTTTTAATGTCGACGATTTTCTCTGAGAAATTCTTTGAGTGAGATAACTTATGGTCATAGGTGTTTTTGAGCTGACACTAGATCAGCGAGTACAGCAGTAGTGTCATCAGCGTATTGAAGAAGTTTGGTCTCTTCTTGATTTATTACTATTCCTTTTATTTCTTCGTTAGCTCTAATAATGGCAATCGCTAACTAAAGGTTTCCACGGCCAAAAGAAAAAGATACGGGGAAAGAGGGTTGCCCTGCCTGACGCCACGTGTGAGTTCAAAATAGTCTGAACACAACCCATTATTCACCTCACAACTTTTAATATGCGTAAAAAGTTTTGATCCAGAGTTTAAAATTTGGACCAAAATTAAAGACATATAGACAATTATACAGGATGTTCCATTCTAAAGAATCAAACGCTTTTTCAAAATCAATAAATATCAACAGACCAAGCATATTTTCCTTATCTGTTAAATCTATGATATCAAAGGTCGACTAAACCGTTTCACCAATGTAGCGTTTTTTTACCATATTAACCAGTTTGATTATGGTGCATCATAGAAGGAAGTACATCTTTAATTCTCTTGGCAATCACTTTTGATATTATCTTAGCCTCAGCATTGACAAGTGATATGGGCCTCCAATTTTCTATACGATCTTTGCCTTTCTTTTCTAATATATAGATTATTAATATATAGATTTAGCCAGGGCTAAAAGCGAAGCTCCCATTAATAAATTTATAATTTAAATCAAACAATAAATTTGTGATCCACAAATCAGTTAAGTTAATGGCACATTCATGTGACTTTTGAGGGAAAGGCTAAGTTATCTCTTACATCGAGTTGATAGCCTTATATGTACACCCAAAAAATAGCAAACAGCTTCGATCACATTCAAGAGCCATAATGGCTCTTGATCACAGTAGATTAGGCCTCGAAAACAAATCCTTGGAAAACAAATCAGGCCAAATTTTTTTGCGTTCGATAGGTTTACTTTACAAATTCTTGCCAGTGAAATCTGGGGGTGTGTAAACCAGCCTTTTATACTCTTTATACATCACATCTGAGGTGAAACAGTACTATTTATCATACAGACCTCGGACAGAATGCGGCATTTCACAGTTTCTCAAGACAAATTGCACTTAGTCAATATTCAGGACGATCAATCGTGGGCTTTTAGCGAAACCGTTCAAAAAAATTGCAAAATCACCCATACGGCCAGCCGGTTCTCAATTCTAGTGCGAGCTGTCAGTGTGGTCGAGTGTTTGAATGAACTTTAATAGAGTTACGCTTCAACATAATAACGAATTTATTATTTTATTTTTTGTTATTTAATGGTTTCAGTTATAACGATGTGTAATCTTATAAAGCATTTGATACGCACGACATTTTTAAGTACTCCTGCAAGCGATGCTCATGAACGATGAAAACAAACGGCATGTACAAGCGATTAAAATTGCAAGGGAGACTACTAACAATCAATAAAAGAAATATAATTCGGTGAGACATTTACAGAGACAACAATTTTCATTCACGAAGACAGGTATAAAGTGTCTCTAAAAATCCTGAGTCTTTAAGCTTAAGTTAATTATGTTTTACTTTAAGCCGGCCTCCCGGTGTTTGCTTTTTTCAAAGATGAACTCCTCGAAGCAAGAAAATCGCTCAAAGGTTTCTTTCTACAGCCATATTTATAACTAAATATTCTTCGGAACGTTTTCTTTCTATTTGCGTTGAGAGAATATATCTGAAGGCCTTTTAAAGTTCTGTAAGCTTATATCAAACCTGACACTAGGTCAGATCATCGACTCAAATCTTACAAACATGCATAAACTTGCCGCATAAACTGTGCTCGACTTCATGAAATTAGATATAACAAAAACAAACATCAAATATAATAATTACTCAGGCTTGCCATTCGAGATTCAGTTCCTGAAAGCTATCAAGGAAAGCCACAGTTGCTTGAGACTTTTAGACCCTGTTACGCATTAAGCAAGGTGAAAAACGAAAACGATGCCATCCGAAATCGGATTACCGAATTTTGACAAGCGACGCATTTCTCAACCAAAAACTGAATAAACAAACCAGCCATGAATAACAGAAGACTCTTGATAGCAGCTGTATTTCATTTTGTACATCCAGTCGAAAAAGGCAGTTAAAAACATCACAAGTTGACACAAAATTCTGTCACCTTCAGCTGTCTAAGTAAACAACTTTCAAGATGCTGCATAAATTTTCTGCATGAACTCACTGTCAAATTTTGACCAATCAGAGCATAAAAATTGGACGTAAAGCGTGACCAACTCGTGACCAATTTTCGCGTCCGAGGTCAGTTTGAAATCAAAATCTTAAAAGTGCGAGGCCATAATGACATAAACACAACATATTTCATATGAATCATTGGAAAAAATAAACTTGAGCCCGCGATCATTTGAAACTGGCTAAAACTGGTTATTTGTCAGCGGATAACTTCAAAAAATACTCGACCTCGATGGGTCGACACTTGAGCCCGCGGTACGGTCATGTGATACTGGTCAGCGGATACCCTGTTTTGACAGCTGTCAATTGATCACAACATTGATGAGCAATTAGTTTTCTCCTGGGCTCCCAAACTAGCTAGTAAGTGTGAGAGTAAACATTGGTTTCCCTGTGGTGCAGACGGACGGTCGTTCGGCGTACGGTCACGTGATTACCAAATTTTCTGGGATGGGTAGATTTTCTTAGCTATGGGGCTCCGCCCACGCGCGGCGCGAAGCGCCGCGCGTGGAGCTCCGCTATTAAAGTGATTACAGCCTGCCTTCGGGAATTAGACATTTCTTCTTTATCAAAGGATTCATTGACGCAATCTATGAAGGGTTCACTAATGAGATCCCAGCAGCTTTTGTAAAATTCAATGGAGAGACCATCATTTCCTGGAGATTTATTGTTTTTCAACGTTTCTATAATTGTCCTACATTCCTCCGTAGAAATTCGTCCTTCACACGATTGCCTTTGTTCTTCCGATAGTTTAGGAATATTTAACCTATTTAGAAATGCCTCTATGGATCAGAAGCCTCTACAGAGTCATTAGTTTTGTATAGGTTTTCATAAAACGGTTTTGTTCGCAGAGTATCCGATATGGGTCTGTAGTTGTTGAACCACTTATTAACAATTTTCGCATGTGTTTTTAACATGGTTTCTCTTTTCTAAATTTAAAAAGTATTTGGTACTCCTTTCACCATACTCATGCCAACGTGCTGTTGCCCGTATGACGATTCCTTTTACTTTTTCCTCACATAAAAGTTCTAATTTTTCTTTGATTTTATCTAAACGCAATCTATTTGAGGCACTAGGGTCATTTTCAAACAGCCTGTTAGCATCTTCAAGTTGTTGTTGAATTCGCTGCTCTTTCTCATATTTAAGTTTGGCTTTTTCTTTGGAGTAGCTAATAGCCTAAGCGTGCAATCTAATTGTATTTGATCCAGTCCCAAACGCATCGTTTGTCAGACATATCAATTTCACCCTCTTGTTTAACTGTTCTAAGTAGTTTTCATCCTCTAAGATGGAAACATTCATCTTCCATATACCAGGACCTTTTATTTCTCCAATGTCTTCTAGAAGTAAGGTTATTGCTGCGATTGATCTGTACGTATTGCAAGCTGTATTTCAGTAGCGTTTATAAAATCACAGAGATTGTTAGAGATAAGCCAAAAATCTAGACGACAGAGAACTGTTGGGGATTTTTGACTCCACGTGTAACTTCTTGTTTGAGCGTTCTTAATTCTCCAAATATCAACTAAGTCCAGTTCGCTTTGTAAAGTTTCAAGGCTATTAATTGCTGCTCTTCTTGGAATCATATGACACCACCGTGTTTATCAAGACCTAGGATTTTAAGGACAATTGAAATCACCCCATAATATGTTTTTCTATGTAATTTTCTATAATAAAACTAAATTATAGATCCTTACCTTTGTTCGGTGCATAGATATTTACAAGAACATATACTTTGTCATCGATTTGGATTTTTAGTATAATAAAACGATCCCAAAACAAGTTGTCGATAGAACTGAATAATTGGTATTGTTTCTGATCAATTTTGCTGTACCACATGAATTAGGGCTTCCATATGAGAAAAGTATTTCGCCACCCCATTCATTTTTCCACTGCACCTCTGTCTCCTTCTTTGAATGCGTTTCTTGGAAAAATACAACATCTGTCTTCTGTTTACGGCACCATGTATAAATTGTACGTCGTTTGGTAAAGTTGCTAATACCCCTTACGTTTAAACAAACTCATCAAATTAACGGTTAAAGCGAAGTTTTAACCTTAAATGTCTAGTGCTTGAGTGCAGAAGGAACGAAGGACAACCCAGCGTTGTATACTTCTGATGCTATTAATTAAGAAAGGACGTGAACTCTTACTTATAAAGCATAATGGTATATTAACTACAAATAGGCATTGACTCAAGACAAACATAAGCCAACATACATAATCACAAAATACAGATGCAAAGACATAATCCTCCTCCAGGAATGTGTGATTAAAGACTGCCGACTCTTTTCCCGTTTTGGATCAATTATCTATTAGGGCAACCTCCATTTATCTGAGTACTGAATACAACTGTTTTCGCTTTAGCTTTGCTTTCTTATTTACCAGTTAACGGATGTGTTTCTGCTAATTACATAATTAAATAGGTGGTGAGAGAAAAAGAGAGAAAAAGAAGTTACGATAAGTTAACGTAATTTAGCATATTGGCATATTAGGGAAAGTGAAAGTTATTTTAACGGGATATATTTACCGTTTATGAAAAGCTTATCTGGTTTTTTTTTTTACTAAAGTTCGCTGTGTCACCTCTCTCTTTCGCATTCTGTAGTTTTTTTAGTTGTGCTTTTCTTAATTCATAAACTTCTTTTGGCATGTCTTCGAAAACACTGTAAGTCTTGTCTTTTAACAACTTCCTCCCCTTAAATAGGATTTCTTCGCAGTCGCAGTAACTAGGAACTTTGCGATGATGGGTCACGATTTCTTACCTCTCTCTTTCCCTACCCGGTGAACGCGTTGGAATTCAATTGTTCCGAGCGTTTTGGATTTGTAGCTCTTGTTCCATAAAATTGTAGATGATCTCTTTCGTGTTCTCCTTGTTTTGACTACTGACTGTACTATTTTCTTCGTCATCTCGTGTACTGACCTCTCCTTGAATTCCAATAAACATTAAGTTCTCTCTTCTGCTGTAGTGCTCTTGGTACTGAAAGAAGTTGCATCTTAAGATTGTCCACATCATGTCGCAAACCTTTCACATCTCGCTGTAGGTCACTAATATCTTGGTCGTTGTAATCAACGCTCTGCTCGTGGTCATTTACCTTTTGACTGGTCTTCTTTGTCTTCTCCTTTAAGGCTTCTACAACTTTTTTCAATAATTGCGAAGCACTCTTCTATATAGGCCACTGACTTGTTCAGATTCTCTAGACGCAGTTCGATACTATCCAGCTTGTTTAATTTGTTCAAAATTAGGTCGACTTTAGATCCTAAATTTTCGGCCATACTCAGCGCTTTCAAATGTCGTCTTCGCTCTCGCTTTCTAACGCACAGTATGATTCTTTTCTCGTGTTTTCTTGTCTTCAGGAGAAGAAGCATTCGACGACCACGATTTTGGCCTATCTTTCGTTTGAGCGGCATTGCTAAAAGTCATCAAAGATATAATTCTTGGCGGAACACTAAAAATAGCGTCCTACTCCTTCGGCATTCCCAGGGGTGCGTGTTTGGTCTTTAGATCTTAAAGAGCGACTCACGTACTTGATTTTTGAAATTATGAATGATATTAAAGTTGTTTTAGATGTTTTGGTAAGGCATTTTACGCTTTAGCTGTGTAGTATATGTTTAAAATTGGTACGGCATGAGATTAGAGGTTGATGTAGCATTGAGGAAACTTGAAGGCCGATTGCTTGTGATAAACCTAAGGATAGCATAATCATTTTTTGTAGATAAAAAATGTATCAGCCATAATACAATCGTGCTGGTAGCCTGATATGTTAAGTAAATTATAACGTAGCCTTGTGGCGGACGTTCCCGTTTACTCTGTGGTTTCGCAAAGGAAATATAAAACGTCTGTACTCAAACCAAAATGGGCGTGGAGTTGGCAGGGAAACACTGAGGCAAATGAGATCGCGAGAGCGCTTTCCGGTTGCCGGTCTGCCATTGGTCAAATCGGTTTTAAGATTTGTGCGCCAATTCGTCGCTCTCGGCATGTTGTCATGATCTCAGTCATTCTTTTTGACATTTTTCAAGGGCTAAAGAATGCTGCATTCGTTTTTACATTTTTCAAGGGCTAAAGATGTAATTAGTCATCTGTAATAACACCAAAGAAAATTTCTTATGGGAGCCCGAGAAAATGAATGTCAAATTACACAAAATTACAACTTACACAAATTTTCAGAATTTTAACTGTGTTTTCACAATTCTTGTGAAATTTGACATTTATTTCCTCGGACTCCCATGAGAAATTTTCTTTGGTGTTATTACTTACCTCGGTTGGTCGCTGGTACTGGCGACGTCGGTCAAGATTCTCCCATACAGACCTCCGCTCGGTTAATAAGATGTTTATTACATGGCAAAACAAGAAAGCAAAGGAACAAAACATAAATAATTTTATTTGCTTCCCTGAGCGGGCTCAAGCATTTAGCTGGCTTTCTTGTGTCACTGGTCTCCAGTCCTATCGGGACAAAAATGACTGTTCAAAGTCCAGCTTTGTACAAACTTCGTCAATGAATGAAGACAAAATTTTTCACTCAGGCTAAATGAAAAAGCTTGTGGTTGAAACAACAATTTATGAAAAGTGGCCAAAAGTGTAACTGCCTGTCTGTGCCCTAATCGCTCAGCGATCAGTTCTCATTCAGCCTTGCGATCTCGCGATCTTCGACTGATCATCACAGAAAACGTTGATGTTAAATGTGCAGCCTAATTATATATTGTAACAACAGATTACTCAAGTATCCAAAAATATACATTCAGTTTTGTGATTTCTAACAGTTTACTATCAAGACCGCTTTAGATTGTTTTTTTTTTTCCCAATATTTTAGTTACATTTTGGTTACAATCTTACTATCCGCGCAGATGTTTTTAATCGTCTTATTAATTTTACCATTACTTTTTACAGGTAACGATACAAAGCATACCATTTTAGATAGTGTTAATGGTACGAAGTGTATTCAGTTTACCCATCCAGGCTCTGGTGAAAGGTATGCGCTAAAGGTGGAATATAAAACAGGGGTGGGCAGAGTAGTTTTTGAGGTGAGTTGACATTACAATCATATGCAGGGTATTCACGTACAGTTGAACCTCAATTAGGCGGCAACCCTTGCCGGAATACAAGTAATTGGCCGCTTAATAGAGGTTGGCAGAAACATCACTTTATTTTCAGACAAACCACAGGCAGCCCAAGCTCAGTATGAGAGTTTAGTCAGCGTGTGTTATCATATTGCGTATTCCTCAAAATGGCCGTGATTATAAAGGATTTGTATCGGAATTCAGGTAAGCTTGGGCTGCCTGTAAACAAAGACGCAAAGGGAGCGTAATTTATACTGCCGCTTGATAGAGGTGATGGGGAATGGCCAAAAGGTGCCCGCGGCCTTTTGATGGAGTTCCGAGGCCGCTTATAAAATTAATAGAGGTTTTGACAATACTTTTCCACAATTATTTCGCCGGCTACTTTGATTACTGGACGCTTAATAGAGGGGGGCCGCTTAACTGTTGGCCGCTTAATGAATTGAGGGTTCTACTGAACTTAGCTCTAGTATTATTAGAACCATTTATAATATATTGCATATATTGTGGGTGTATTTCACGAGCACAGAGCCTTTAAGTGTGCTCTTTCCCTTAGACCAGACAAACATGTCAGAGACCACTGGAAGTAAATCAAGAGAAAATAGAAACACATTGCTGGATAGAAACAAAATTCCAACCTAACCGCGGCGTTCCATTACTAAACGTTTTGACTGAGACTTTGATTACTTCTCGATCAGTCATGTAGGACTGGACGCGAGAATGTTTGAAAAATGAATGGCAAGTTTCAGTCGGACCGGGCCGACTAGTCAAAGATGACCTACTTTTTTCCAGAACATTTCCACCTTCGCAAAGCGTTCCATTTATATTTAGACCAAGATTTCCAGAAGGTTTTGCATAATGGAAACCGCTTTGAGACCAGGGTATTTAGTCAACGGTGCGAGGTTTTGTGAATGGTTGGCTGAGTTGGTAGCGTACCGAACTGCTGAGCGAGAGGTGGCGGGTGCGAAACCTGAATAGACTGCCAACAGGAGTCTAAAAAAACGGCTAGATTGCAGAATACCCAGCCCACTAAATATCTGACTTAAAAAAACTGATCCCGCAGCCCCCCAGTCGTCCGATTTGCAAAAGAAATTCTGACATCGACTGTGGGCGTGCGCGAGTGCGGGAGAACTACGTAGTATACCTTGTTCTATAAGCACACTAGTTACTTGAAATCGACTGCGGGAGTAAACGGGACTGTGGGAGCACTAGTTAGCGACCGCGCACAGGAGTGCTGGACTGCGGGAGCACTGTCTGGTATACCTCGTTCTATAAGCATACTAGCTACTTGAAATCGTTTCGTGAGTACGGGACTGCAGGAGCACTAGTTGTATACCCACTTACTATTTTCTTTTTGGCGACTGTGGGATTGCTGGACTGTCGCATGAGCACTTGTTTTACTCACTTAGATTTAAGTATTCGGCATAACACGACTGCGGGACTGCGGGAGGAGTTTTACAAGTAAGACATTTAGTGGGCCGGGTATTCTGCAATCGCTAAATAAACACTGGTGAGATCTTGCTGACATAATTTAAAACTGAGACAGTGCAATAGTTCTAATAGTTCTTAAAATCAACAATAATACAAGAAAAGGTCTAGCTAAGTCAATGTAAAAAGTGAGTGCCGTCCTCAAGTAATAGAAAATTGTTGGCAATATTTGCTTCTCCAAACAGATATTTTACAGAAAACAGTCGTTGGGTGCCCCTGAAGAAAAGGTTACAGTCAAGCCAAGTCAAGCGTACCCTCAAGATTCGATTAATGAATACTATTATTCGAAAGTTGAATCCGTTGGTAGTTGTAGATTTCACATTCATCTCTACATTCTTGCGTGCGTAATGAGCCTTGTATTCACACGCGACACTTACGCGAGGCAGTTAGGAATTTTCTACCGGCTCATTTTCCCTGAAATTGATGTAAATGTCTTCTAAGAAATTTCGTCCATTCAAAGATTTTCAATTTGACCAAATACAGAGAAGTTCCCGTAAAATGTCTAAAATATTTCACTGCTCATTACGCATGCAGTAATGCCGATTTGAATTTGACAATAGTTACGGGAACGACTATAAACGGATTCAAACTGAATCAATTCATAATAGAATTTTAGGGGTACGCTTGACCTGCCTTGACTGTAAGCAAAGTTAGTAAAGAGGTTTAAAAAAACAAATTGATCTAAACGGCCAAGACGTATCAATGCTCTGGTATTTATACACTGTGTTCAAGTATATTCGCCGGATGCATTTTAGTTTCGTGGAATTTGCTACTAACAGTTATGAGAATAAACGCCTCCTCGTGGGCTCCGAAAGTTATTAGATCATTCACGGTATTACTGTTTTACATAATAATTTTGTTTACAGAAGCATCAATGTGACGAAGACGGCAATGACCCAGAGGAGTTCCGGTTTAATCAGGAATGTTACCGACATGGTGGAGGACGTTTTTATGTATACAAACCAGTCAAGAACCAATCCTTGTGCGTTAGCAAAAACTGTGTTTCCCAGAAACTATCTCTTTATAAGTATAATATTACACAAAATGAGACGGCACAAGACACACCCCACCTACACAGGACAACAATTCGATCGTCGTTGCGCATTTAAACGTTTTTTTTCTGTAAACCGCTGAATGATAATTGTGTTGTTAATAAACATGATGATAATTTGCATCTGACTAAATTGATAAAGTATATCGTGTAAATTTTATTACTTTTTGAATTTTCTATGAAATTGATATTTTTGGTCGCTAAGCTCGCCCAAAGGTTTCCTTTCAAGCAAAGACTAATATTTAAGGACATGAAAATCAACAGCTGTGTAACAATGCCAATAGTATTCAATTTTCTTTACATATTTTTAAAGAAATTAAAACTCATTGAACCCAACATTTCAGTTGCTATTGGGACGGAGGAATTTGTCGGGGGGGATTTAGGGGGATAGGAGTTAGAATGAAGCATTCTTAGTTCTCAAACCAAACTTTATAGACTGGAAATCATTGGGCAAGAAAATGATATCTTTCGGTCTCAAACCAGTCTGATTGTAAAAGAGGGTCCTTAAGAGTCGAAGTCCTCTAAAAAGAGAGAAATTCCGCTCCCATTTTCAACATTGTTCACCACTTTCACCAAAGTCGGTCTCTCGTAGAAAACCTGTAAAACCCCAGGTAACTCGGTAAATCTGTTTAACCCTAGCGCGTGTGGCTATAAGACCACACTTGCGAAAGGCATGGGGCTCAAGAATGTTTAAATTGATAATTTATTTGATTCTATTTTCATTCATGTTACAACGTCATTCAATATTACAATCAGTCTTGTGTCATAGCTTTTCAGTAGTATTTACAAGCTTACAAGGGTTAAAATGCAGCGTGCACTTTCTTTCCACAAACATTAAAACTTGATGAATGTAGTATGCACACATGCGACATACCGTATTTATTCGAATAAGCGCCCAATCTCGAATTAGCGCCCACCTCGAATAAGTGCCCATCCTAAAGGCAGAAAAAGTTAATAAGCGCTCAGCCTCGAATAAGCGCCCACCTCCACCCCACCGCCTTTCCCCTCACACCCCCCAAAATTGAATGAGTACTAATAAGATACTTCCCCGACGACGGAGTTCTCTTCAGAGTATTTTACAGAAACCTTGCTTTGTTACATCTTCGCGTTTTGTTTTTAGTATTTATTCAACCTCGTCTCCAGGGCTTGCGCTGGGGACGAGGTTGCTATTTATTGTTTTGTTGCAAAATAAACAAACTACACTTGCTGAAAATGTTGAAAATTTAATAAGCGCCCAGCCTCGAATAAGCGCTCACCTTCAATAAGCGCCCACTCTCAAGGTCCAAAAATTTAATAAGCGCCCAGGGCGGTTAATCGAGTAAATACGGTATATTTATGAAAACAAACTAGTAGTTATTTCTGGTAAGGTAAATTACGTTCTTCCTTGATCCTACTCCTGCTGAAATTCGCAGAATTTGTGTTATGTATAGCATAGTATCCTTTATATTTGATATAACTTGTTCACCAGGGGCGTCCTCAACAAAATTTTTTAGGGGAAAGCTCCGCGCCGAGGTCTAACCCCCAACCCTTTAATATACCATTTATGACAAAAAAGGTACCTCTTTCATATACCTTCTATTAACAATTGGTAACCCCTTTTACTTATACCTAGTTTAGAACTTTGCATCCCTTTAACCGCTGTAAATGCAGTTTCTTTGATTTATCAAAGATTTAAATCACAAAACAAGTTTTCTCCACTTGATCACTGCCCAAACATGCATCTGTAAGCCCCTTTCGGCCTTTGTACAGACCGAAATGACAGATTTCTTGATCTTTCCCATACTTCAACTATTATTCCCTGCCCTTTCTTTAACTGAAGCCTAAAATAGATACCCCTTTCGGGCGAAGACTCCCCGTATAAGCCATTATAGGGAGCACTTCCAGGCTTGGTCATCGCAAGAATGGGCTGATTTATGATACTATGGGGGCCGATTACCATTAAGTGTCTATAATACGAATAGATAGATAGATTGATTGATAAATAGATAGTGACTTTATTTAGCGAGGGTGGCACATAACTGACAATCCAGTGGCCCTCGAATTCGAATGAAAATTTTGTCTGCACGAACGTCCTAAGCCTATATCATTCCACTAATTTGTATAATATCACTACAGAAAAACCGAGATCAGACTTATTCGCCTCGTCCCTAGTGGAAAAACAAAAAGGCACAATTCTGCTTGCAACTTACAGGAACTCGACCTAAATGAACGCAGCTTATTGCTAAGTCGGTTGAATAGGTCGCGAGAAATTAAAAGGTCTCCATCTTCTGATCAAATTCCGGAAGTCGTCAAAGGGTAAATGATAACACTCTTTCAAGACGTTACTTTGATTTTAATTACATTTTGCAAAGTCAAAAATAGCTTGTTGCAAAATAAGAAATAACTTGACGGTGCCGTTAATTCGATGTGCTGATCACCAGTTGGTATCGGCAGCAAGAAGTTGTAATAAACTGAAATCCAGCTGCATTATCGCAAAGTGATACTTGTAAAAGTAAATCTCATTATTTCTAACGTTGTTTGTCGTCGAAGTACTTACAAACACCCCAGATAATTAGCGACGACCACCCGAGAGTAGTGAAAAATGCTTATTGGTGCATTACATTGCTTCCCCAGGAGCAACATTAAGAATCACATTATTAATGCCGGACATTTGAATGAATGACAGAATTACCATAAATAAGACAACAAAGAGTGTGGCAAATGAGGCGAGCATTTTTTTCGGTTGACACGACTGTATTGTTTATACGAGCGCGAAGGATGGGTCTTGTTAAAGCTCGAGTTAAGACGCAGACACATCTTGGTTGCCCACCTTTTACATGGAAAAACCAGTCGGTTCACGGTTGAGGCAAATAATAGCAAAATTCAGGGAATTAAGGGTGGTAAATTCCATCAGAAATAGCGTTTACCATTTGCAGAAATCAGTCTCATTTACCAAAAATTCAGAACGGATATTAAATCGGAAACTGGAATCAAAGATGGCTCTGAAAAAATGAACCTGAACATGAACTTCCGTTCGGAACATTTTAAACCAGGAAAACAGGACTACCTTTTCAGATGTTCCTTTTCAGTTGGGACGACCATAAAAGTCGTGATTCAATATTAACTTTCCAACCGGATTTTCCGAAAACTTATTTGTAGATGAATAAAAGTGATCTATACCTTTTAAGACGTTCCGCGTTTGTTTTGGAATTTTTTTATGGGAACGACAGTCGTGCTCCAGTTACTTTTCAACCGGATTTTCTGGAAACATTTTGCTGGTGTACAACGGTTAGGTGGCATTTATACGGGAAGATCCCGTCTTATAATAGGACGCGTCTTCATTGTCCTCGTGTAAATGGCATTAATATGTAATATTTCAACGTATACGTTATTTTCATGACAAAGGTGTGGTTTTGCTAATCTAAACGTATTGCATCTTTGCCGTTCTCGTTGCCTTCACCGTCGTAGTTACTTAAGCTCCCAATTGCTGTGATCCAGAAATTTTGCTACCATGGTAACGTGACGTCATACTTCTTCTTTCTCTATTCTGCCAGTGAGGTCATTACATAGTGTCTTTACCCATTCATAAAATGCTTCAATCAGAGATATGAAGAAGATAGGAAACAAATTTCATCAGGGAGCTCTAACTATGATGGTGATGTTTGCAGGCAGAGCATTAAAACTTTTACTAACTTTTCTTTTTTCAAGTTTCAATCCATGACCATCTTAACCATCTGTTGTAACAGACGACAGGCCGGAAACAGTTTTAAGCCTAAATGTAGTCGAAAACTGGACCATTAACTTTGGAATTCAATAAATGTGAAGCCAGGTTTTAGCTTTTTTAAAAAATATAATAGTAAATAGAGTGACATGGTCTTTTTAAAATCCATTCCAGAATATAGTGGAAAATTAAAAAACCATCGATTTTTTATCGAATGTTGCTCCTCAAATGACGGCTGTAAAACGTAAAGTAATTAATCGTTGGTGGGGACAAAAATATATATACAGAAGCCCATTGCAGCGTGAAGATCACTGATCACTGGCGAAAGGCAACTCGATCTTTCTGGTTACTCAGTATAGATGCTTCTGGGTACTATAGTGCCGGCGTAAAGAGAGGTGTCGATAATAGAGAGCTTTAGATTCTGAGACGAGGACGACTTCGAGTACGAGATTTTCTCAATACTGAGTACTGCTCACGGGCCGTGAACCAGCGTCATTTTGGTGGCAAAACGTGATAGCCGTCGTAATTCTACTAAGAGTTTTAAAAGTCGTAGTGGCGGGAACAGGTCATCAAAGGTAAGAAGTTTTATCATTTTGCGATCGGAAGAGGGTTTAACCTTCTTTAGTATAAATAACCCTACTAACTTTTTTGGTGAAAAAAACTAAAATGAATCTTTCCGGGGTGTCTTTTTTTAGAATACGCATTAAAACTTTGAGTTAAATCTCGTATTCGTACTCGTTTTCGTCCTCAAATCTAAAGCTAACTAATATAGAGAGCCGAGGACAAGAAAGCAACTCCGTAATAGAGAGTTGACTATTTTGAAGCGGAAAGAAACACAATTTGGTTTGTAGATGCAATTTTTCTGCATCGTTAGCCGCGAATGTTGACTGCCCGCTGAGTTTTGCTTTCGTAAACTTGCACACATAGAAGTGAAGTTCTTCTTCCTGGGCTAATATAGTAAATCACTGGCCCCTCTGAGACTAGTTTTGTTTCTCTGCAATCTCAATGTCTTCCCCGATTCCCTCGTCGCGTGGGTAACAAAATTAACTTTTTTCCTACGGACTAGTCGTTAAGTACTTGTAAACTGCAATAAAAAATATTGTATTTTAAAACATATAAAAGAGTTATATTTATTGAAATATTGTATTGCGGTATGTCATGAACACGATCATAGAGAACAGTATGCATTAATTCTACGAGACTAGACATTTATTAGTGGTTTAGTCTTACAAGATCTATTTCCATGTCCGAATAGACCTTGTCACGGTTTTGAATACCATCTTGACGAGATGGCTTCCAAAACCGTGACAAGGTCTATTTGTCTTTTGAGAATTCCAAACGATTTTTGCTCAAAGAGCTACAAATGAGTTTCAGGCTTAATTTTCTGCTTGCAAGGTGAAAAACACACTTGAAGAAGTTCTCTTTTAACTAGAACGTAATTCCTGTATTTAATACCGTTGTCGCGAAAAAAAAATTGGGAAAACTTGTTAGATGTAATGTTACATACATTTTAAAAGCGTTATTTTAATATAGGGACGTCAGCCCAAATTAAACGTCAGGCTGAAAAAAATGTTTTTTCTCCACCTAGATTCAGGCCTCGTCCACACGTATCCGGATGTTTTTTGATCTCAGTTTTCTAGAAAAAACACACTTCCTCAAGTAGCATATTCGAATCGTTTTCGCCCTTTCCTCTCGACAACGCTAGAGCATGCGTAATGCAGTGCTATATGATGTATGACATAATTCTGTTCGAAAAGCTCCGTTTTCGTCCCGCTTCCACATGAAAATTTTCTAAAATCTCCACTCTAGACCGTTTTAAAAAACCTGCGTTTTTGTTGCTCGAAAACGCCGTTTACGTGTGGACCGAAGGCTAAAACGGACAAAAGAAATCTCAGTTTTCAAAATATCCGGATACGTGTTGACAGGACCTCAAAAAATATCTATGATATAAACAACTAATACTGTGCCTCTTCGGTACTTATGTTTGCGCTTCTTAAAATACTCATATTTCATTTAATTCATAGGACAAATGAATAAAATATCCTTGAATCAAACTAATGTGGCCGTAAAGCTTTGATATCAGCAATTTATGATATTCCTTAACCGAAAACGACAATTAACAATCGCGCCGAGAGCAACTAGCCTCTTGAGTGCTAAGTACTTCATATCACGACATTCGCACAGCTGACGCATAAACCAATTTATTGTTTTATAAAATTGTCAATGCAATCAATGCGGCAGTTGACTTCAAATTTTATTATTAATTATAACGCGCGCTCAAAGCAGTACGCGTCAATGTCTGAGTGACTATATTTTTTTTTACATTGACAGTTATGTTTAAGGTTTAGAATCCATATCGAGATGGAAAACTATTAGTTCACCGAAAAAATTATTTTTAAACGTAAAAATTTGCCCTCCACATACAATCTTTTTTTTTGTATAACAGTAAGAGTGTTGTTTTACCGGCCCACACCGAATACCGTTGTCTTATTTTTCTGCCGATTAAACACTTAAAATATTGTATTATTCTCAAACTATAGCTTATCAGTTTATGACATTTCCGTTTTACAATGTTTTGGGGTTTCAATTACAAGGTGTTAGGTGTCTAGATCTAGTTTTGTCGTTAAGAAGAAAGGAATAATTTTATACAGTTAAAAAATAACATTGCATTGTATTTAAAGATTTATAGCGCACAAAAGTTTGAGCCTCGGGTTCATTCTTAAAATATCCTTAAAATTTCAGCTTCGATATTCTTATAAAAAATATTCTTACAAAGAAAAAGAGTGTGGCTCGCACAGATGACAACAAAAACACGTACCTATCTTTTTTCTGTTAACAAATTCAGTGTCTTTCTTTAGATTACGTTAAAATTTGTGAACGCTTCATCTTGTGCTATTGAGTTATGGAAGCAATTGGAGAATACTAAAGCTCACAAAAACTCGAGGTATTTGTTGGCGTTATCAGCGAATATCATGGAATATGAAGCATGAAGCGCTATTGAATTTAATTTGTATATCTTAAACTGAGTCCCCTGTTAACTCAAGGACTTCCGCTTCCTAACTCGTGATTTCATAGCGAGAGGTAAAGTTGCGAATTCCGATTTTGGATTGAAGTTATACCCCTTAAGACCGGATTAAGATTCACCGTCTATCTTTTTGGTGACATCACAACACTGACAGTACAAAAAAATTGGGCATGTTATGGTAGTTTAATCTTGTTTTGGAACCCTCTGTTAACTTGAACTTAACACATAGATTCATGCTTTCTATAGTTCAGTCAGTGATTTGTCAGGGAAAAATCCAATTCAGGCTACAAGGTCAGGGAAAACGTGGGAAGTTTCTTTTGAGTTAGGCAAAATCTTAATTTTCAGGAATAGTAATGACTAAAGCATTTCCGGTCACTGTGTTCTGAAGGATGTCTTAATTTCTTTATGAAAAAGGTAAACCGTTCTTTTGAAGTTCTGGTAGAAACTTTTTAATTAATAAGGACGCAATGAAATTTTGCATTGAATTGGTTTGGGTAATTTCATAATTTTAATCGCGAAAATGTCGGGGCATTTTTAAAACCGTTGTCTAAAACTGACCAAAACTGACGATATGTTTGTTATTTCCCTTCAGTTAACTGGATTCAATTTCCTATTATGTAAACCGGAAAAATTATATTTTCACGGCCCAATAAATCTTTTGAACGGTTTCTTGTGCTTTTTATGCCTTAGAATTTTCTCGTATTGGCTCGCTAAGAATATTTTTACGGCTACGGACATATGAGATTACCTTTTGTAAAACTAAAATAGGAGTGTTTCGCATGCAGGCGTCAACGAATTTGAAAGCTAATCTTAATAAGCTTTGGATGGATGGCAGTTCTATCTTAAACAGAACAAACTAAAGATTAATTGTTAGACGTAACGGGAATGTATTCAGTGCCGTAGCCAGACCAAACGGCCAACCGAGAAATTTTGAACTTTAGTCTCTCGGAAATGCGATTTGCAGCGTTTTCTGGGCCTTTCGGTAACTTTTTTTCGAGTTAATTTAAGTGGAATTTAAAAAGCAATAATCAGAAACAAGCTACATAATCTGGGTGACCGTTAACCTCGCCAATGGTTTTGATCAGTATTTGTTCAAAACAAATTTGAGTTAACGTACGTAGCCCCTTGAGATCGATGATATGGTAATTTTTTCATAGTATATTGACTGAATTGCTGAATTCTTTGTAATATCATGATGCGTTAAAAATATCCGATGATCGCTTATGTAAAATAAAAATGATCGGCGAAATTCGTCAAAATTTTACCGAGGCGAGTGCCTCGGTTGGCCTCATACTAGCTACGGCGCTGGTATTTCATTTTTATGCGCACTTAAGTGAATTAAATTTTGGAGCACGTAAAGGGGCAGTGCCACGAGGATATTACTCAGGTTTTAGATCAATTCTGTGCTGATATCATTACTTAATGTCTTTGTCGATACACAAAATTCTCCTGTACAGTTATGAAGTGGATATTAAACAAATTTCACCACAAACCATAGTATTTTTTTGGTGATTTTTGCAGGCACAGCATGATTGACACATGAAAAAGTTGGCTCGACTTTCTTTAAGTGTACATCCATTTCCATGCAACAGATGACAGGAAACTGTTTTAATGCTTAAAGAACAAACTGGACTATTATTTTTGGAATTTAATGATGCGAAAAATATTTTAACTTTTAAAAGATACAAAATAGCGTGACCTAGCCCTTTTTAAGGCGGCTATGTAGTGACACGCTACCGTTTGGTGTGACCGTCACTATGAAGCGGAAAAATGATGTTTCCCTTAAAATATAATTTTCCGGATTTACAAGACCGCCAAAAAGCGGTGGGCGATTTATAGAAATTTTGGTAAATTTGGATGTGGTTTTGCGGTTTTTGACGTTTCCGTGCCTGATTTTTGTCCTTTTCTGTTCTGTATTGAGATTCTGAATCCCTTTCTCTCCCCTTCTAAGGTCCCCTTTGAATTAAATGAGAAACCAAAGCTTTTGTATGATTTTAAAGAAGCTAGTAGTTATTTGTTTAACTAGAACCGGACATTGCCCGAAGGTAAAAAAAAAAAACATCACAAAGACAGTTTATCATGCATTTGTATATCTTGGCATCCAAGCAGCAAGAAACAAACTTGGGAAACATATCAAATGCCCATGCACGCAGTCTGAAATCAAAGTTTTTGCTGTCAGTCCAAGAAGATCACTGGGAGCAAACACTCGTGTGAAGAGAGCAAGGGTACGTGCTCATCGTCTCGTTTATGGGGTGTGCGGGAGAAAATCAGAGGAAAGGTCATTTTAGCTTTGCAGTTATCCCCTTTGGGCTATGCGTGAAGAAATAAAAAAACAAAAGAGAGAAAAAGAACGAACGAAAGAATTTGAAGCAAACATAAAACACAATATATGTATCTTTTATTTGGTTGTTCGTTTTAGAATGGTATCCTTTAGGGGTCAAAGAAAGCTTGGACCACTCCCAGGAACAGGTGAGTCCTGTAAGTGCTTCCACCAATATTCTCGAATAGTCGCGCTTTAGCCTTGAAACCGATGTGATAGTGATCAACCGGGATAATTAAGGGATAATATTTGTTCTTCTGGTAGAACAGTTCAGCTTTTTACGTGACTCTCATAACGGAAAAATTTAATAGGATCTCAATTCCTTAGATATTACACAACAGTTAAAAACAACCCAAGTTCTAGCAAAGAAAGGTATTTAAGCCTGGGGTCAACAACTGAAAAATTAGTTGAATCAGTTTAACTGGTCTATCTTAAAGTCCTAAGAGCTGTACACGGAGGAGAAGTCTTTAGAAATGGAGTTATTTCGTGGCGTTTTTTTATGGTAAGTGTGTAGCAGATATTTTTTTTTTTGCTTCGTTTAACATTTTTCAAGTTAGGTTAACTATGAAATTGCTTAAACTGAACGGTTGCGGATGCATCAAATTTTCTCGGTTGGTTTTACCTCGGTTTCTTTGTAGCTTCTTTATTATTGCTTACTAAGGACAATTGGTTTTAGAGGATAACTTTTGCTGTTATTCATGATGGGTAATTCTGAACAGATACTTTTGAAAAACTCTCTATGGATAAAATATACGTTTTAATGTCCTTTCTGTGTTCGCAGTTTCTTGTGGCGTTCTTGTCTGCTTTGAAGGTCCAATCCACCAAAAAGTTCAATCCACCAAAAGTTGCTATAAGTTACGAGGGTCCCTGCAGTCAAATGGGCGACCGCTATTTGTGGATACACTGCTCTGCGACCAAGACCAATAGTTCACAATGTGAGGCTAGAGCCGATGGTCCAACTAAAAGTGAGTCAAAAGTGAAAACTGTTTAGAAATAAATCTAATTAGTCTCAGTTCAGCGAAGGAGCAAAGCAGTCAAGAGATTAAACGTTGGTATCATTGAGTATATGCGTTCCAGTACAAAGGCGATAACACCGTGAATATGGAAATTTATCATTTATTTCAAATGTCAATTTTTTAAAAAAATTGTTTGGTATTACCTGCAAATAGCTAACGAAGCTAATCGAGGCTGGTAACAAAAAGTAAACGGAAAGAATTTTGTTCGTAAAAATCACGTCATGAAAAGTTGCTATAAGTAATACAGTTACACTGTGGGTATTCACAAGGTAATTTTGATATTATTAAAACTAAAAATACTTTTTTAGGATAACAAGAAGGTAAAACAAAATCGTTTAAAAGAAATGGCGAGGAGGAAGTTACAAGGTTTAAATGTCTCTCTTATGATTGATAATTACGTTAATTTAAATTAACTTTTAGAAGAATGGTGGATGGGTCAAGATATGGGTGTTTGGTCTTTAGATCTTAATGAACGACTCGTGTACTTGATTTTTAAAATTATTGGTGATATTAAAGTTGTTTTAGATGTTTTGGCAAAACATTTTACGCTTTAGCCGTGTAGTATATGTTTTGAATTGGCATATCGAATTATGTTTTAGATGTTTTGGTAAGGCATTTTACGCTTTAGCTTTAGCACCATCCAGTATGAAAGAACGAGCACATTCCCTCTTGTCATATAGTGTATCCTCCGTAAAGGTTCATATTTTCTCTCTTGTGGACAGGCAAAAAAGGACTCGAATACTCTAGGTGTGGATGCGTTTTGTAAAAAGGGGGAATCTCTGGTTAGGTGTGGAAGGGGGCTAAATATAAATTATGCAGCAATTTGTATGGTTTAGTTTACGTATTTCAACAGCAGATTACTATCATACCCAAAAATATATATGTTTAATTTTGTTTGCGATCAATACCGCTTTAATTTAGATTGTTTTTTTTCTCTTCTTTTAGTTACTGAGTACATTTTCGTAATTTTTATTAATTACCAACCGTAAAGCTTTATCACCGTCACATTAATTTAAACATTTCTTTTGCAGAAAATGCCGATTCAACATTTCAGATTTTACCAAGAAATGGAACCGGAAATATAACGTGTATTCAGTTTACTGATTGGACTGACTTTGGTAAAAAGTATGCACTCAAGGTGGTGAATCAAAGTAGAACGGGAGAAAGCAGCGCGTTTAGAGTAGTGTTTGAGGTGTGTTGACATCACAATCATATGCCGCGTACTAACGTACAGTTAAACCTTCATCAAGGGGATACTCAAAGAAATTTTATACGGGGAGGCTCCGCTCCCTGGCCCAACCCCTTTTACATACCATTTTTGGGGGAAAAGATACCCCTTTCGTATCATGGTACCCCTTTCACATACCTAGTTAAGGTTTAGGACTTTGCTTCCCTTTTAACTGCTGTAAATGGACCGTCTTTAAAATTTATGAAACAATCAAAAAAACCAGAACGTTTTCTCGACTTTTCTCACAGCTACAAAAAGCATCTTGTAACCGTTTAGGCCTTTTTACCGTCCGTAACTACACATTTACCTAGCCTTTTATTTATGTAAAGCCTGAAAAAGCTATCCCTTTTGGGCGGGGCTTCTCTCTCTAGGTGATTATAGAGAGAACTCTCCGGAACCTCCATTGAGCGGCCACCCTCGGGATACCGGCAAGTGACCGCTTAATGTAAATTGTTCACTCAATGAAGGTTTGTAACCCCTTGCACATACCTATTTTGGAACTTGTCATCCCTTTAACTGCTGTAATTGCGTAAATGCACTGTCTTTAAGGTATGAATAAAATACAAAACCAGAGCGTTTTCTCGACTTTTCATGACCATAAAATGCATCTAGTAGACCTTGGGTCTTTTACTGACCAAAATAACACATTTCCCTTTCCTTTCATATGCTTCAGCAAGTGAAATCCTGCAGCTGATCCTACTCTTTCATATACCTGAACCGGAAATAATAATTTCGATAAAAATACCTGAAGCCTGAAAAAGGTAAGCCCTTCGGGCGAAGCCTCCCCAGTATAGATGAGACTTCGATTTTTTTGAACACTTTATATATTACTGTTTTACATAATCAATTTTGTTTACAGAGGTATCAAGGATGTAGTGTCACCACACCCAAAGAGTTCTTGTTTGTAGAAGAGAAGGTCCCAGTTAGACTTTTTCGGTACAAACCGGTCATGTTCAACAACCTATCCATGTGCCTTGGCAAAGAGACCAGCTGTAAGTCCCTTGAGAAACTATCTCTTCTCAGGAGTGGAATCAATGTTACAGACAAAGTCCAAAGGCATTGCGTATTTAAACATTATTGATTGTAAATAGTTTTTAATTATGATATGCAAATAATGTTTTTTATTCTAGTTTTTAGGTTTTAGATTATTTTCTCTCTGTATATGATGTTTTAGATTCTAGATTTTACCTTCTCATCTTTTAGTTTGGGGAATCTTTTATATAGCGTTGCACTCTAGATATTCCCTTTCGAGAGATATTTTGTAACTTTAGTTTTTATCTCTTGATTAAAGTATTGTATTGTAGTGTATTGATATGTTCATGAAAAATTGTAAACGGGGCTAATAACACGTTATTTGTTATCTTCTTAAAAAAGCTAAAACTTGTCTGCAAATCAACTGAATTTCCAAAATAACGTTCCAGTTATCTTATTTACGACTCTATATTTAGGCATCGAAACTGATTCCTGTCGTCTGTTGCAACAGATGGCAACGATGGACATGGATTGAAAGTATTGTATTGTAGTGTATTGATATGTTCATGAAAAATTGTAAACGGGGCTAATAACACGCTATTTGTTATCTTTTTAAAAAGCTAAAACTTGTCTGCAAATCAACTGAATTTCCAAAATAACGTTCCAGTTATCTTATTTACGACTCTATATTTAGGCATCGAAACTGATTCCTGTCGTCTGTTGCAACAGATGGCAACGATGGACATGGATTGAAACTTGAAAAAGCCTCTTTAAGATGTTGGTAATTAAGAAGAAAGTCAGATCATGTCTGCATCTAACCGAATTAATAAATCATATCGTGTAAATTTTATTACTCTCTGAATTTTCTATGAAATTGATATTTATCGACTTAAGCTCACCTGGCCTGAGAAATCAGCCTATAATGAGGACGCCACCACAAGTTCCCCGCGAATGACGTCTGCGAAACGAGCGCAGAAATTCCATACTGATGACGTGTCACTACCCAGATATGGGTAGTGCTTTTGATTGGTTGAAGAAAATTTCCCACGCGGTACGACCAATCAGAGGCACTACCCAGATCTAGACATTGACGCGTCATCAGTATGGAGTTTGTGGGCTTTTTCTCAGGCGTCACTACACGCGAGAAACCAGTGGTTGCATCGCGTTATGTCAGCTGTTTTCTCATGCTGAAGCTCGCCTAAAGGTTTACTTTGTAGCAAAGACTAATATTTAAGGACATGATAATCATGTCATGCAACTAGCAACAGTTGTGTAACGATGCCAATGGTATTATGCATTTACTTACTTATTTTTTTAAGAAATAAAAGTTGAAACCTAACATTTCGTTGCAGAGAAAACTTTTTTGGGTGGGAGGGGGTGTCGGGACGGGGGGGGGGGGAGGGGCAACGGGGTGGAGGGGAGTTAGAAGGAGAAGTGGAGAGATTCCTAATCTAAGAATGAAAAAACCCTAGTTGTCCTTGTTAAACCAAGAAGCATTCTTAGCTGTTCTTAATGCTCAAACTGATCAACCTTTAAAGACTAGAAACAATTGGGCAAGGTTTAAAAGGATATCTTCCGTTCTCAAACTGGGCTCATTGTAAAGGACGGTATTAAGAATTAGGAGGGCGAGGTGAGGTGGTGGTACCAAGTCACAGTGCCCAGCCTTGTTTTGGCTCAAATCTCATTCATAGTGGCTGTTTGCAAATTGAAACACCTAATAAATAAGGAGCAGTTTCATTTTTTCCTCCCAGTGTGCATGTCATTTCATTAACAACAAAAACCTCTGAGCAAGGAAACTGACAGAACTTAATCACGGAACAATGTGGAAATTGGTAGCTAGAACTTAAACTCATCCCCAGGGAGCGTTTCGTGAAGACACAAACAACGGGCCATGTCAAAGCAGACTAAGTTAGGCGCGGAAGCGGAAAAAAACTGATTTTAGGTGTCAACTGAGGTTTATTTTAGGTTTTAGGCTTTTTTGTATGAATTAAATAGCCAGAGTATCCTGGGCGGTAAAAGGTGAAAAATGAAACTTCAGAAAATCGTAGGAAATTTATTATATATTAAGTTTTGAAAATTGTACATGAATCAGGGAACGGTGACCTACAAATTTTTAGCGGTCCTGAAGTAATAGAGAATTCGAGGAAGTATTTGCTTCTGCGAACAGATATTTTACAGCAAAAAGTTGTTGGGTGCTCCTGATATCAGTTTCGGAACTGTTGCAATCTCACTGAGTAAAGCAAATGGTTGCATTAAGAAAGTTTATTATGGATGACACAGAGGCTATGGAACTTTCTTGAGCATGCATTTTCAAAATAGTAAGCTGCGTTTCAAGACGGTCCCTCTTTATATCTGAACCATAAAAGTTGCAGACTGATAATAGCCAGTCATTTGAGAAATCGTCCCCTGTCTTGTCTTGGCAAGCACGTTTAAAAGATTCGTATAGATTTTATGCCCTCCCGTTGATCAAATCTAGACTCGATCCCAGGGCTATCGGTCCAAGGTTTCAAAATATATACGTTTGTAATTAAAATAGAGGAAAATCTGTATTTAAAATGGAAAATGAAGTAAAAACCGGTCTATAAGAACATCCAGGCTGAAATTTGGCCAAATAGGCACCTTCTATACAAAAACAAATTTCAGTCTTTTCTACTGAAGAACCATTTTAGGTTGTTGCTGAACATTTATATTTCGAACTTAATAGTCACTGGAGTGTTATACTAAGTTATTTATATCTTGCGTTTGTGTTGTTGATTGCGCTGATTCTCCGAACAGACCCTTTTCAGTCGGTCTGGCAGTCGAGCTCGAAGCGTGCTCGTTACTTGCTCGTAACATTCCGGAACATGATTTCACACTCGGTCATCCCTAGGAACTTTTTTGGCGGATCTTGAAAAAAAAATCGTAAAGTATAGAATTGGCGAAAATTTTTTAGCAGGAAAACTTTCTTTTATTTGTTTGATTACGTTTCAGTACCTCGAGTATGACACAAAGATCATGATGGGAGGGCTGGTGGAAATGTACGCTATTGCTCCAGAGGAGTAAATCTTTGCCGCGCTAAACCTCTACCTGGATATCGTCGACTTGTTCTTGTACATCCTCCAGTTAATTTCAGCTGCAAGAGACTAAAGTACTCTACTTATTAAAGGGTGTAGATCGATCGTGAAGGAGCGTAGCGGATAGTCCTTACTGAAAAATAAAAAGATCTGTTGCAGCCCCAAAAGCCAATCAGTCAGCGCTGCAGGACAAAGTCTAATTCAGCTTCTCCTGGAGCTATTCAATCACAATTTACAATAAAACAGCCCCATCCGAAAACCCTATTCCAGCTCTCACTGGGACTCATTTCTGCCCTTGGGTCCTAATCAGCGCAAGGTAATTGGACTGTATAGGCCCTAATTAAGGGAGCCACATAAGACCCCCCAAACATAGGACTAAATTTTACTCACCGAAACCGGTTGAAGCATCAATTTTACTCACCGACACCGGTTTAAGCACCCAGAATCTTTTACACTGTTTAAAGCGAGGTTAAAGTCTTTTTTAAATATGTGAATATGTAAATAGCGATAGGTAATAATTTATCGTATTTTTATTCTTATTCAGCTATTTTTATTCTTGTTTAGAAAACGTTATAGGGTAGGCCTCGTGTTTCCTTTTCAAGATGTATTTTATTTTTATTTTCTCCTCTTCTCTTTTTTGTATTTTATACACTTTTGTATATTGTTAAACATCATGAATAAACCAGTATTGTGTTGTATAACTGCCAATACATTGGAGACTTCAGGAAGTACCTTTCATTAAGAATTTTTTTTCATAAAATGCCTTGATCCCTCTCTCTTTCCCCAGGAGCAACATCGAGAAGCATATTATAAATGCCGGACATTTGAATGAATGACAGAATTACCATGAATAAGACACCAAAGAGGCGTGCATTTTTTTCGGTTGACACGACTGTATTGCTTATACGAGCGCGAAGGATGCGTCCTGTTTAAGATCGAGTTAAGACGCAGACACATCTTGGCTGCCCACCATTTACATGGAAAAACCAGTCGGTTCACGGTTGAGGCAAATAATAGCAAAATTCAGGTAATTAATGGTGGTAAATTCCATCGGAAATAGCGTTTATCATTTGCAGAAATCAGTCCCATTCACCAAAAATTGAGAATTCAGAACGGATATTAAATCGGAAACTGGAATCTAAGATTGCTCTGAAGAAATGAACCTGAACATGAACTTCCGTTCGGAACATTTTAAGCCAGAAAAACGGGACTACCTTTTCAGATGTTCCTTTTCAGTTGGGACGACCATAAAAGTCGTTATTCGATATTAACTTTCCAACCGGATTTTCCGAAAACTTATTTGTAGATGAACAAAAGTGATCTTTACCTTTTAAGACGTTTCGCGTTTGTTTTGGAATTTTTTTATTGGAACAACAGTCGTGCTCCAGTTACTTTTCAACCGGATTTTCTGGAAAAATTTTGGTGGTGTACAACGGTTAGGTGGTATTAATACGGGAAGGTCCTACTTCTTATAATAGGACGCGTCTTCATTGTCCTCGTGTAAATGGCATTAATATGTGTTATTTCAACGTATATGTTATTTTCATAACAAAGGTGTGGTTTTGCTAATCTAAACGTATTGCTTCTTTGCCGTTCTCGTTACCTTCACCGTCCAGAAATTTTACTACCATGGTAACGTGACGTCACACTTCTGTTCTTTATTCTGTGCTGAGGTCATTATTAGTGTCTTTACCCATTCACAAATTGCTTCGTTCAGAGATATGAAGAAGATATGAAACAAAGTTCATCACGGAGCGCTAACTATGATGGTGATGTTTGCACGCAGAGCATTAAAACTTTACTAAATTTTTCTTTTTTCAAGTTTCAATGCATGGTCATCTTAAACATCCGTTGTAACAGACGACAGGCCGGAAAATGTTTTAAGCCTAAATATAGTCTTTAAATATTGTAGAAAAAGTGGACCATTAATTGTGCAGGTTTTAACTTTTTTTTAAAAGTACAGAAAGTATAATTAAAAATTATTCCTCGAGCCCGAATAGGCTCTGCGGCCTCATGGGCTATCGACCTAGAGGCCATGAGGGCCAGAGGAATAATT